TTCTTCTACTTTTTGTCCCATCTGTGCCTTCAGCCTATTTAGTGGTCCCACCAACATTCAGGGTAGAACTTTCTGACTCAGTTTCCTGACCCACAGACTAATTGTTCCTGGAAAATTCCTAACAGATACACTCAAAAGTATTGTTTACCAATTTTCTAGGTAACTTTCAATCCAGACAAAATCCATGGTTAACACCATTTGCCCGTGGATAGACATTTAGGTTGATTCCAAATATTGGCTATTGTGAGTAATGCTTTAATGAGCATACAGATGTTTCTTTGATATAATAATTTCATTTCATTTGGATAAATGCCTAGTGGTGGGGTTGCTGGGTCATATGATAGTTCTATTTTTTCAATTTTCTATATTCTCACAACAACGTGTGTTTCTTTTTCATATTTTCACCAGCACTTATTATCTTTCATTTCTTTGGACACAACTCTTCTTACTTATTGAAGACAGTGTCCTTTCCCCACATTATTTTTGTGACCTTTTTGATCCAAAATTAGTTATCCATAATGCATGTACTTCTGGATTTCTGGGCTCTTTCTTCTGTTCCCTTGTTTTATTGTGTCTGTTTTTACGGCAACAAATTGGAAAAACTAATTTATTCCAGTCCTCTCTTTCTTTCTCTCTCTTTTTTTTCTTCAACTAGCTGAAGGTTTGCTAGTTATACTTTTAAAAATATTTTACTAGATAAAATGTACATAGGACAATTTAGCAATTGAAAGTCAGTCCATGTAAGATATATATGGGTTATTTTTTAATCCAAATCAAAAAAATCAGAACTTCAAAATAATCAATTGATAAAATATCAATTTCAAATTGTTCATAAGTATTTAAATACTATTCTGGGAGCATATACACATAGAGACTATATACATAATTGAGTTAGTGTTGTCATTTCCAAGTGAGTATATCTCAAGTCAGAGAGATATCTTATATTCACTCTAGATATAATAAGATTGTATTCTTGAATATTATCCCCCTATTTATTACTATTTCCCATCAAAAGACACATTTAGATTGTTTTGAACACCTGGAGTTTCCCAGTAATCATTATAAAAACTAACAAGTTATTTTTATACTTTATGCTTCATAGTATTATATACTTATAAACTTATATTTAAGAGCATATGTTATTATATATGATTATCTTATCTAGTAATATAATTAGAAGCCTAATCAAACATAAAAATGTTATACCCCTTAGATGCTATCTTTCCAGAATTTTAGAGATATGTATTTTCATGTGTAATTTTCCATTATTTCCAAGAGAGTTATCGGGATATTTGTGACTGTATTCAAAAAATATCAACAGTCTTAATTTGTTTTT